TCRTATTTATTAGTAAACTTGTTTGACTAAAAGTTGGTGCTTTTTGGAATGGGGCTTTAAAGAGAACAGCTGAATTATGACGTCCTGCGTGTTCTTCCCTCTAGATAATCTCTAATGACATAATTAAACATCTTTATACATACAAATAAAAAACAACAAAGGCTACCGTTTTAAAAGCAGGTAGTTTCAAAGAGAATTTACAAGGCAAAACAAAAGTTAGACCAACTAACTAAGCTTATATTTCTAGTCAGCATGCATGCACATCGCAAAGGATGTTCAAACACAAACAAGTTACTATTTTATGATTGTTAAATCGTGGACATTGCGTATCCACGTCTTCAAATTATTTAGCTTATTCAAAGCAAAACTAAAAAGTGTGAACACGCTTCGACTAAACCTCAGCTTCCAATTTTTCACCGATTTTATTTCAAACTTAATTCAAAGAACATTTTTTTCCTGCAGCGTGGATTTAAGTGCTCCAGTCTTTGACTTTTCAGGGGCTTTAAAACAAACAAACAAAAACAAACACCCTCGTAGAAGTGCTAAAAGGCTCTGAGTGCTTAAAGCAAAATGCCTAAATTTTGCCCAACCCACCCCCATTTAAAAAAACCCACTTTTTGTAGCTTGTAACTTTTAAGTTGCTCTTTGACTGTGTTTGAACATCAAATGGTAACAAAGTTAAAAAGAGTTGTGAGAGTGTACAAAATCTTTAAATACTGAGAAGAAACTAAAGTTCCTCAACGTTTCTTGAAACAAACACAGGAAGATTTTCACATTAAGGAAGAGTGAAAAGCAAAAGAGCTGCTTTTAAAACATTTCTAGAATGTTTGCTTTTTGATGCATGCAAGGGGCTCAAACTGTGTAAATGTCAGGGTCTTCATGTGCTCTATGTGTGTGAATGTGTGTGTTTGTTTCTGCACGTGTATCACGCTGATTTCCTGAGTAGAAGAACACYCATCATGATGGAAAGAACTCATTAGGCAGGTCAGGAAACAGCAAAGCAAAAATTCCCTTAAAAGTTGCTTGATATGACCCCAATGTAAAAGAAATGTCTAAACCTCTACCTGGACACAAATCACCATTACAGTCATCATGCTCCGTACTATATACACACCTGCCATAAAAGCACTTGAATATCACAACATCAAAATACAATGGTATTGCTAATGAGTGGGAAATAAAAAATAACCATYGAATCACCTGCAAAACCCCTTTTTTTCTCCATTCAGTTCAGTGCTGTGGAAGGCATAGGAGGAATGTTTTCAGTTACAGCATGTACAAAGTTATCCTGTACACAAATACAAATGTGACACACTTGCAGACATTTTTTTTTTTTTTTTGCATATGAACATGATACAGTCTCACTGCATCGTAACATTTTTTTCCACGTACAGAAGCTGTTTTCTCTTTTTTTAAATTCGGTTGAACATTCAGAGAATATTTTTTTTCCTGAGTTTGAATTGCTGTGACGAAAGGGGCCACTGAGATTTATTCACAGAAGAAACAGAAAAAGAGAAACAATGGGACAGAAAGAGGTAGAGGAAGCTAAGAACCCGTCTACAAGACTCCAGATAGTTCTTTTAAAGAATACTTTTTTATTTCTTTGTTTCATCCGTGTGGTTTTAATAAAAATGATGTGATGCCTGTAACGCTCCACTAGGTGGTGATAATGTCCACATTAAAAAAACATCAAAGTACAGAGAAGGAACATCCTGTTTTACAATTTAATCTATACATCTGACCTGAACTTTGAAGTTGAAACTTGGACAGGACCAGCTTCCCTGTTGGCTGGTTTTAGTACAAATTATACGGAACGCCAACTCCACGTAAACAAAGTATTGCTTTTGGTAAGTTAAAAATATACCTCTTATTTTGCTGTTCAAATATTCATTTTCTAATATATTTAGCTGTAATTAGATTGTTACTAGTAAATAAAGGTCTCAACATGGTGAATATGCACGTGAGACTACTTGAAGCTTCTCGTTGAGAGTGCCCAGACTCTGGTTCCAAAAAACAACACAGCAGCACCTGTAAAAACAGGACCACGTGGCTAAAAATTTCACCCGCTTCGGGTGTTATCATCCATTAAATGGGCGTTATTAGTCGTCAGCAGGCCCATGGAATGGCTTCAGAATGGATCTTATCATCCATTAAATGGACGTTATTAGTCGTTAGCAGGCCCATAGAATGGCTTCAGAATGTCCAGATTGTGGCTCCTAGTGGGTTCTCTGTCCCATAGAATGGACTGATAACGTCAGAATCCGCTGAAAACCACTAAGGTTAATATGAGGCACAAAGCCAGTAAGGTTAATTTTAGAGAAAATKGTCATGGCCTTCGATAAAGTAGACCATTGTTGTGGGCCCAATGTAGGGCAATGGGTAGAGCACCAGACCAGAGAGCAGGAGAGCTAGGATCAAGAACAGGCAAGGGCAGAGAGAAAACAGMAACCCCCACCCCAGACAAAATAATAAGTTTTGGTAATTTACACATTCAGTATCATTGATATATTAACCCACTAGGAGGCAATGTCGGGACAGTCTCAACGTTCAATATCATTCATATATTAACCCACTAGGGGGCAATGTCGGGACAAACTGAAGCCATTCAATGGGACTGATAACCGCTAATAATGTCCATTTAATGGACTGGTAACATCAGAATCTGCTGAAAATTTCCACTGCAGAGGAAGAGATGCRGTATTTCTACGAGTGGCTTTGGCTAAAGAGTCTCCCAAATCTCAATATTTTCGTTAATATTGTTTCGAGTTTCCTCTTAGCTATTCCCTGTTCAGTACACAATCAGAGTTTGACGGTAAAAAAAAAAGCTAAAATTGAGCAAGACAGATGTAGAAAAATGGTTAAAATGGATYCATTGTTATTTGGGCTTTTAAAGCACAAAGTGAGTGAAACAGGCTGTTTCCGAGAAGCTCCAGACTTCTCCATTGCAAASATTTACCAAAAAATATTTCAGTTTTTTTTTCTTAAATCTGTGTTTAGACAAGAGGTGGAAACACAGCAAAATATCTCAATTTGTAAAACTATTTGGAGTCAAGTAGATGAGGCTTAGGAGACTGTTTTCACACAGAGACATCAGAGAAACTCTGTAGGATGAGAGCAGAACTGGGGCTGGTGTTAACACATGTATTCCCAGCAGGAGATACTGTTTGTTCTCACAATAAAAAATACTCCAGAGTGCTGAACATACAGAGGAAGAACTTTTTGGAAAAAATATGCTACATAATTTTTATGATGAGTTTAAACAATTCATCCATGTAGATTCATTGTCAGCACAGAACTAAATATATAGCAGAAATGAATGAGTGAGAGTGGCAGATAACTAGGTAGTCTGTTTGAGAAGTTCAGCGTTAGGCCACTGGACTGCGACTGTTGGAAACWAGTTTGTGAACACCCTTCGTGAAAGATTCACCAAAATGTTTCAAAGGGGGTCTAAATTTCCTGATGGGGTTGCAGAGGCTCACAGTCCTGTAGCTTAAATTTTGAAAAGTTGTGTTGAAAATTGTGATGATATCGTCTAACCTGTCTCAGTCAGGAACCACCTATAGGTCACTGAACAAGTTTCTGCCGTTATTTTGTGGGCGAGAAGCTGAACCAGTGTTCTAGAGCAGTGATTCCCAAACATTTTAGCTTTTGACCCACAAAATAACAGCAGGAGACACCTGTGTCCTTAACTAAAAACACTGGTATCAGGTCAAATAAACAAAGGCATAGTAACAATATTCATTATGCTACTTTTATCCATTTTAAGCACAAAAACCTTGTTCTTTTTGTAACAACAGGGCAAAAACATTGTTATTAGTAGTCATTTTTAAATGTAATTAATTCAGAAATCTTTTCAAGATGTTGACGTTTCAGGACCCCACTGTGGGTTCCTACTTCAACATTGGGAACCACTGTTCTAGAAAACTGGAGCTGTTTTCTAACTTCTCAGGAGTTCTTCTTATGACAGAATACATCTGAGCCTACAGTCCCAAATACTGACGAGTAAAATTTGAGTAAACCTGAAAGAAGAAATTGCACCCGCTTCGGATGTTATCATCCATTAAATGGATGTTATTAGTYGTTRGCAGGCCCATAGAATGGCTTCAGAATGTCCAGACTATGACTCCTAGTGGGTTCTCTGTCCCATTGAATGGACTGATAACGTCAGAACCGGCTGGCTTGTATGAGGCATAAAGCCACTAAGGTTAATATGAGGCATAAAACCAGTAAGGTTAATTTTAGAGAAAATGGTCATGGCCTTCGATAAAGTAGACCATTATTGCAGGTCCAATGTAGGGCAATGGGTAGAGTACCGGATTAGAGAGCAGGAGAGCTAGGATCGAGATCAGGCATAAATAGCAAGAAAATCACACCCACCCCACCCTGGACAAAATATTTATTAAAATATGTTTTGGTTATTTACACATTCAATGTCATTAATTTATTAACCCACTAGGGGGCACTGTCTGGACAGTCTGAAGCCATTCTATGGGACTGATAACCGCTAATAACATCCATTTAATGGACTGATAACATCAGAATCTGCTGAGAAATTGTGTGAAAGCTGTGTTATACAGTAAATGACTCTGAGGAAATTTGCTACAAGAAGCAAAATGGAGGGTAAATGTATCAAAACAAGAGCTGAAAGTAATGAGTTTTTTTTTTGCAGAGGTGTGTTTGATGTGGGTGGAGATGCACAGCAAAAGAGCTTTTAAAGCTGTGCACACCAAAAGGAATAACCGGAAGTGYAAAATGCAGCTAAAAAGCTACAATAGTTTTACCTATTTCCTGGCCAACCAGTTTCCAACAGTCGCACCCTGTAACGCTGCAGACACTTGTTTTCTCACATGCACTCCTTCYAGAGCACAGTGAGAAGATGTCAGGGCTGCAGAAGATATGTGAAAACAACTGGAGATACAGAGTGGGGGGAAAAAAGAGAAGAGAGAAACTAAGACAGRGACAGAGACGTAGTTTGCACAAAAATGAAAAGAGAGTTGCTGTTTAGGTCCAATGAGGTTTCACTTTGATTTGTGACACATGAATGACAGAGTCTCCACTGTAGAGGTTACTGCTGGGGTGAGTATAGCACCATTGGAAAGGTTTGGTGAGAGGTTCCCACTCTGTCATGTTAAAAGGAGAACGCCTGTAGAACAGTATTGCTGCTATTAAGACAACATTAGTGTCGACCATTCAAACAAAAACAAAACTAAAAGAGTAAAAAAAAAGCACAAAAGACATCAAAACAAAGCTTGTTTCTGAGTGAACACTGGCAGAGGCTGAACATCTCACAACCCAGAGGAAGGGTTTGTCAGAAGTGTCAAATTAAATAATACAAAAACATTCAACACAAACAGAAATCAAACCATCTCTACTTGGTACAGTCCTTCCTTGGCTGCTCGTCAGTTGTACATTTGTCTGTCATTTCCTGGCAAAAATCCACTGTTACTGTCTGGTTGGAGATTTCCACAGACAACTCTGATGCTGAGTACAAGCTGGTGTCCTGAGCATCTGGAACTCCATCAGCCCCATTAGGCTGGTTCTCTGACGAGCTGGGGGACCCATGGAAGATGGGTTCTGGAGTGGCTGAGCCAGAGTGGGTGGTGAGGTCAATGCTGCTGGTGGCAGGGATGCTGAGGGAGGGTCTYGACTCATTGGCAGTGGAATTGGAGGGCCGCAGCACGGGGCAGTAATGGTGGAGGGACTGTACCTGTTCTGGGCTCAGATGGACATCCCGGCACACCTCTTGAGACAAGCAGGAGAAGTTCTCCCACAACTCGCCCATACAGGCCTTCAGTTGGTTCCTCTCAGTCAGCAACTTCTCTTTCTCACAGACCTGCAAACACACAAAGTTTGGTTTTGACTTCCATTCATTGCTGAAGTCTAATGGGCTCGACACACGACAACATCGCTCCCTCTCCATTCGAAGCACTTGTACGATGAGGCAACACCTCCTCCAGCCAAACAACCAACAAAATTTGTTCATGTCAAATTTCAAGCTTGTATACATAGCAGTGCACACTCGGGTTTGTGATGCAACACAAGAAAGTGGAAAACTGTTCAACTCATTTAAGTCAACCCATATATTATTATGTTTATTTTGACCCACACGCGATATAACAGGGAGAGGTGGCAAACTTATTTATAGCGGCAGAGCAGGTTGTGAGACGCTTATTTAATTTTATTAATTACCGTATTTATTCAAGTATAATACGTAAAATTAAATCCATAATATCATCCATAAATTTGGGGGGTAGTACTATACTTGGAAAAATATTTTTACTTGTGTATTTTAACTGAAATATCAGCTTCATTCACATAATGCCTGAGTCCGGAAATGAGACCACAACGTAAAAAGCAGTTGAAACAAGCTGACCTGTGACACTTCTCCGTGCTTCAGAGTGAGATAAAAACAGATCCAGGCAGGCGACATGTTGTGGAAAAAAAAGGGGGGGCAGTAGTCCTGCACCT